GGGAATAAAACCATTTGAAAAATGTTATTGATATTTTCCATCATTAAAGACTAATTATTTACTCTGCAAGTTGTGTTGCCTAAATTGGTCATTTTCAGTTCCATTTTGTTCTATACAAATACCTTTTTTCTACAGTATTTGTTAGTTGCTTTAAAAATTGTATTTTGAGATATTTGTGATCAATTTCAATGCTTTTTTAAATAAATTGAATATTTCTAAAACCTGGAAGACATTTGTGGCAAGCTTTGACCCACAGGGGGTGCAAGACCGAGAAACTTTTAATGCAAATAAATTAAATGTAAGTTTTCTAACAGTAAAACCTAGAATAAGTGTAACATAAAAAGCATTTTGTCAGGAATTAGTTTCAGTAACTGAAATTATCCCAATCTATAAAACAAAATTTACAGCAGCACACTTTGAACAGGATATCTGCCTCTTGTTATGCTGTATCATTAACAAGAAATAGAAAATTAAGCCTCAAAAGTGGACTTTAAATATTCATATTGCAATATTAAGTATACCGAACAAAATCTAGAACTACTAAAATAAATGAGTTAGCCTCTCCAACTACTTTTTTACCATTTATATTTCAATCAAAATCAGTATTTTAAAGACTGTACTATATAAGCCTAATAAACTGAAATCACTGAAATACTGATGTTAGAAAACCAGAAGTCACACTTTGATAATAAGACTTGAATGATTTTTGCATGGCAACAATGGATGTAGTTTTTCTTGAAACATTTTATTTATGTTTTTCTCATATAAATCTTTCTAAACTCAAATTTTTATTCTAGTTACAAATCCACATTTTTTTTTTCTAATAAGCTTAAGTTACATCTGTGTGCGATTTCTTTGTTTTACTGGTATTTTCTATTCTGACTGCTTTTAAAAACTTCATGAGAAGTTAAGATACTGTTATAAAAGTGCAAGTGAATTCTGTATTGGGTAGAATGCACATACCTGTCAGATGCTACAGTTACAAATAAAAACATTTAAATGTCTGTTAATTACTGTTCTTTGATCAAGTATCATCTCTTAATACTGTCTTTGATGTCTGCACACGTTTGACAAGCAGGAGTCAAGACAGAAATGACTGCCTCGGTTCAGTAAACATATTTAAATACTTGCCATTCACATGAGTAGTAGTTATGGTATACTAACTGTATGACTAAATGTATGGTATACATCTCAGAGCTAAAAATTAACACCAATAATGAAACAGAACCAAAACAACAATTACATGAGATGAAATTAATCAAATCCCACAGCCTTGTGTTTTGAAAACCATTTAAAATGTTTTTGTTCTGTTCTTTTTTACTGTGCAGTGTGAGCATAGCTCTAACTAAAAAGTCTTCCAAATTCCAAGATGCCTAATCTCGCTGACCAGAGAGAAGGTACGTGAGAGCTGCTGAATGCACACATACTAAGATGTAAATAGAAATTTACTGTAAAGTAGATTCAAATACTTCATCACATACATTACCAGAATAGTCAAAATAAAATCAGCCAAAAGTTTGCCCTCACCTACACAAGTGCCACACTGACTAGAATAAGATTACATTTTAAAAAGGCATATTTTACCCTTAACAAAAGAAAACTGAGATATTCTTGCTAATAAAGCCAATAATATGAAGTTCATTTTTGCCTGACTACATTGTGATTTCAACAGCAAGAAAAGTTCAAATCCAGGAAAAAGTATGTGCTAACATATGCAACGCCGATGTATAATCTTCCTGGCTAGTGAAATTCTGAAGAAGATCTATTAATGCTGTCGACGGACTGTTAGCATGTCCCACAGGATGAACTTTCAGCAAGGCACGAATCTGAACATGCTCAAGAAATCAGTACTTTACAGCAGAAATACAACTGTCATTTAAACCAACTTCTTTTTTTAATGAAGGATTGTTTTAAAAAATGGTAATAGGGAAAACTAGTAGATGCCTACATTGCTTTGGTGTCCTGTTAATCAAGCCTCTATTCCAAATCCATCCTGTTCTACTGATGTTGTAGTCAAGAGACAGCAAAATGAGTTAGGAGGTTCTCTTAATCACGTTTAACTTCAGAACTTCAGAATGAATTCTGATTATCTAACAGGTCACAGAAGTAATGATGGGTAATCGCTATTTTCCCCTGCAGAAACCTCAGCTGTGTAACCACACAATAATCATTACCTTTCTAACACTTATGCAAGACAGTAAAGTTGGTAATGGGAAATTCAGCTGTCATCAAAATGCAGCCAACAATGAGCATTATGATATATTCCCAAAAGGCATACTCCGGCCTTTCAACCAGAGCAAGACTGCATGTCAACAAAGTTTGGGATATTTGCTATAGCAGAATGGAAGAATATTAGTCAAGACAAAATATTAAGCATGTTAAGCACGTAAGCACATACTGCTTAACATCTTGGTTCTCCTACAAACCTAGCAACTATGGATGCTACCTATACACATTTCCTTCCCTATGACGCTGCTTCAGTAACACTAATCATTTGTCCCATCACAGCCTGGTTTAAGATTAATTTACTGAAAAATGAAGGTTCATACACTGCATTTAGCTTAATATATTACATTCATTATGATAAGTTGTCTGCTTTTGCATTTCTGCTTTTTACCATGTCTTCTCTACTAGCATTGGTAAGTATCTGACTGAGCTTGTGACAGATCACATAAGTGTTCAACAGATATATTTCTGCAGAAGATCAGACTGAACCTACGTTCACTAACAAAACAGCAAATTCTCTGAACAGTCATGACAAGTACACTTCTTCAAATACACTGGAAACAGGGAGAGTGCCACAGAGTTTAAAAGGCTGAGATAGGATCAAAATGGAAACATAGCAGAAGGCCAACAGAAGGCCACAGGAAAATAATTATTTGCACCCATGTTCACCATTAAGTAATTTAGGACTGATTCATATTTGGATCCTAATTTATATGGAGCATACTGGTTAATGTACTTCAAGATCAGACTCCACTAGAAGGAGACATAGACTAGATCAACAAAAGAAATAGTAACAATTCACCCACACTGGTTGTGATTCATTTAAAACATCCAAAGGAAATAAAGTATAAAATTGGATCACCAATTGTAAGTTGTCACTAGTTTCTAAAATAGTCTTACTTTTAACCTCAGAAATTTCCTAAAGTTCTTAAGAAGTAAACAAAATTGGTCCTAGTGAAATTGTCTACTTCGATTTGAAACGTATTTCAGCAAAGCTCCACACTAGGAGCTCTTAAAGAAACCCAACTGCTGTATTTTAAGGGGAGAAAAAAATCTTACAGTTAAAGAATTGCTTTAATTATGAGAAATAAGTGATAAAAATAAATGCTTAGTTTACTCAGTGGGATTTTTTTTCCCACATGTTCAAAAAATATAGAAAGGTAGGAGGTCAGTGTAGTAACAAAATTTTCTAATACTTCTAAGTTATTCAGGATAATAAAGACAAAAGCCAATGCCAAATATTTACACCAGATCCACATGGGATACAGCATGATGGTAAATAAACTGTCACACAATATCCAGGTTAGACAATATAGGGGTTCTACATGGAAGAAAGCATTCTAAAATCACTTCTCAAAGACAACAAAGGCCTCCTTAACCTCAGGAAATATAACCCACAGATATAATAAAAGCTTTTATGATAAAAAAATTAAATAGTCTGGCAAAATAAACTGCAAAAAACTCTTCATAGCAATATGATGAAAGCAGAATGATGTATCCAGAAATACAATCTGAGCATTCAAAAACCATGATCCAAAGCTGTGTTTAGAGCAGAAACAGCTTGAGACTAATTTTATAACTTTTAAAAAAATCCACCAAAACCTTCTAAAAGAAAAAACCCAATTATTCCTAAGATTCAAAAAAAGGTCAAGAATGTATCAAGAGGTAAACACTCCACAAGAAAGACTTAAAAGAATGTGTTCTATCATTTGTGAAACAAAATTATCAAATCATTAGATTAAGGGGAACTTTAAAAATCATACAAAATACAGGTTAAGAATCTTATGATAAACACTTAAGTAAGAATCTGGATAAAGTTAGAATATCAACTCTGCAATGACCATCATCAACACATTCAGGAGATACTGCATTCTGTGATTTTTCTGTTTTACAGCAGATTATTACTTAAACAAATTTCGAGGAATTAAACACCATGGTTTTTTTTAATATTCAACCTCCTTTGGGCTCATGAATATAATCCTTGATTACAGATCTACCTTCCCTACTCACACTAAGTGAAGTTTTGCATTTAACGGGCGTTATCACCTTAACTATTTTCCCTTCTCTGCTTAATCAAGGGAAAGAATGCTAGTAAAACTGAAATGCATAAGCACATCTCATTGACAAATCTATGGAAGAAACTAAGCAACAAATTTTACAAAACCATTGTGGGTAGATCATTTCACAGCCTTTCAAACTCACTTTAAGACATAAATTAGCCTTTGGAAAATGTCAGGGGTATAAGCGTAAGATCTGGCACACTTGTAAATTTGGAGGCCTGTTAGTGAGAGTTACGGATTTATCATAAGAGTACTAAATGGCACATTAAAGCCAAATATTTCTCCCCACCATAATACTTTCTTTAGATCTATGATCTAAAGTTTAGTTGCATGGTCAGGAACAATGAAACAAATCAGGACCAATACATTTCATTTCCACAGAGGAAATGCAGAAATGTCACAATTTTTTCTACGAATTTGTTTCCAGGAACAAAATCACTTTGGTTTCATTTTTACTTTTGGTGCTTTTGTTTAGAGAATATAAATAAGAGTCTTGCTGAATACTGACACCATTTCTCAGTTTTTTTCCCAGGAGAGATTTAATTGTGAAGTACCTTCTATTAGCAATAGCAGAAATAGTTCCATTACTGCAGCAGCATAATTGCACAGTTTTTCTTTAAAAAAAACCCTGCAATTTCCTTTAAAACTGTCAGGTACAGAAGCTTAATTTAAAACAAGAAGAAACAACTTTTATTATTCTAGAAGTGGACTCACCTGTACTTCACATTTTGGAGAAGAATTCTGATGTAATGCATTTAAAGCATCATGAGCCTCCTGAAGTTGCCCTTGTAACTGACAAATCTTTTGATCTTTTCTAAGTAACTGATCCTGAAGAGAGGCACACTTTTGCTGCAGTTGAATTTCACTTTTTTTAACAGTTTCAAAACACAAAGTCAATTCGTTATAAAGCTATGAGAGGGGAGAAGAGAAATAACAGGATTAAAAATAAATTCAATGCAGATAGCCATATAAATACAGGAGGAGAGAAAATATAATTTAAGTAACTTGTCCACAAAGTTCGCCCTCTCTTTTTCACGTTTTGACAATTCTTTCAGACTTCTTGTCCTCCTGCTTCGCTCTATACTTTTGAAAATAGTGATTGTAACAATCACTGAAACTTTAAGTTTGAAAGACATTTTTCCAGAAAAACACAACTTACATTAGCATATTATCAGTTTCAGTTGCTTTTTTATGGCATTTACAAATAGAAATGGACACTTAAAAATGAGGATTTATTTTACTTCTTGAACAGTTTATACAAAATACAGAAAATACAAAAGAAAAAAAAATCTCTTATAGAGAATAGGTAAAAAATTGAAACATCTGTCCTGGCAATGAAATTAAAGGACGAAGAATACCAAATACCATCCTTGCCTTTTATAGAATAGTTTGATTTTTCAAAACTAACATTTTTAATATAGCTTGGATAGCAATACAGTGAATCCACTAATGCCTACTGTATTTTGTATTAAGTATAAAATGGTTCTTTAAATAATTATTCTGTGGGACTTTTTTTTACATTAACTATAAAACCCAGAGATGATATTAGAAGTTCTTATCCCTGGCTGTTGCTCAACTGTTCTTGCTGCAACCAGAATATTGTATATATTCTGCAATCACTTTAGAAGGGATTCCATACAAACAAAGAGTTTCTAGAACTACACCTAAGTAATAACTAGCAGTACATGCCGTCTAACTGACAAAGAAAACTTATTTTGCAAGAATAAGGGAACTTAGTAACCACCCCATCCCTCCATTTTTACCTTTCTTTTTCAACATAAACACCTGAAAACTGTTTAAAACAAAATCAGCTTTTTATTAAAAAAATATAAAAACTAGTTTGAAAAATAAACCTGTAGTTGAATAAACAACAGTACAGATTCTGAAGGAAATACATGACTCCACAGCTTTACGACCTAAGCATACATTCTTCTCTCTCTTCATTTCAGTCCTTCATTCCTTTGATTGTCGATTTTTCTCAAAATAAACAATATTCCCTCCGACTATTTATTCTACTATAAAATAATCTGTAGAAGGCATGTACTTCCGCAGCTGACAGTTTTCTTTGGATAATCCATTTCTGCCATTCCATCCAAAAGAAAGTAACTAAATATGAAAATCAGAATTTCCAAATCTATCAATAATGTTTTTAAGTACTAGGAACTGACACAAGTCATTTTACTTGTAAAAACATTATTTTACTCTTTACTTTACTCTTTGTCTTGTCAGCTTTACTTAAATGATATACTTCTTTCTACCTTCCATCTGCTTAAATAGCTTAGAAGTTAAAGCCTCTGAAAAACAATCACAACTTTTAGATTTGGAAACAGTCTACATAACACTTTGTGAGAAATGTGGAAACAATAATCTCCCTTCCTTTCCTTCTTCCTACCACTTTCTACTCCCATGGGCTCTCAAAATCCACTTAGGACAAAATAAATTACTTCTTGCCTACTTCCAAAGCAGATCAGAGATCATGTCTCCCAGGCAAAATTAATTCAAAGTCCAGATAGACTGATATTTCAAATTACTCTGAGTCTTAAAAATTAAACTTTTACATTGAAATTTCTGTGCCTACTGAATGTTATTTATATATTTAAGAAAGCTTACATAATCTCTAGAAATGCAAGTTCAAGATTAGCCAATTTCTTATGGAAATCAGTGAGTATCTCACAGGAAAATAAACAGTACGTTCATTAAAAACATGCATTTTTAGATAATGTCCTTCCAAACAAATGGAACATCAAGACAGAGTTACTTCCAGCTATAACTATATAAGCTCATTAGCTAGATCATACTGGTATGACAATTTGCTGGTTTTATGACTAGCAGCACTTAAGTGGTCGTAATTATAGTATCTGAAAGGTAGCATCCTAGTAAGATGAATGGAGAACATCAAAAATACGATGCTTTTTCTAGCTGGCAGCCATATCCCCTAATGTAGCTAATGGGTATTTTTGGTAGTCAGCATTTGTCAAGACAAGACAAATAGCATGTCTTTTTACTTGCATAAACTTTTCCAACCTTTCCTGCTTTGAAAACAGCAATAACAAAACACATATTTCAAGTATAAAAGTAGCTATGTGGAAAAAACACATTCACACCATTCATCTTTTTACACTGAGGTTTATATATTTTTTTAAACAACAACAATGTACTAGTTTATAGGGCTCAGATTGTTTTTTTTTTAAGGTATTTAACATTAGGAAGTTTCAAAATGAGAATTATCTGTATGAAAAGAAATAGTTTTATCTACTGTCCACAGATAACTAGAACTGCTTCCAAATTCCCATTTGGCTCCCTATCTTCTCATTTATGGCCATGCACTGTTTTGTGGATTAAATATATGCTTAATGTTTATATGGGATTATTTTGGGGTTTTCTGCTCATTTCTGACCCTGTGTTAGAAGAGGCACCACATTTAATCACACTGCAGTAAGCACATTCCAGAACATACAGAATTGCACAACACGGTGAAACAGGTCTATCGTTAATAAAGATACGGAAAGTCACGTGTAGAGAGACAAGACTTAAAATGGAGATCAGAGGACTAGGAAAATCCAAAAGAAAGACAAAAATATTGTAAATTATTTATCTCACAACTAGTAAGCTTCACAGAAAAGAGAAGTGAAAACTTGACCGTACATAAGTGAGTGGTTATACCTTACATGAATGTCAACAAGACATGAGATTTACCCAGGAAATTGTTTAATCCCCAAGAAGAGATATAAAAACATATTTATGTTTACAAGATAGAAAGAAAAAGGAAAATATTTAAAATCATTCTTTATACATTGTATGACATTTGGTAGTTGGGAAAAAAAAAAAGGCAACAGCCAGCAACACAAGACTGTGCTCTGCAAAAACTGTTGCACTGACTGTATTTTGAGAATCTCTTTCTAATGCCTTAGAGCTGTCCTTTCCCTGACAGGCAACACAGACTGTTACAGGTGAAGGTACTTCAAAATAAATAAAAAAAAAGATTAAAAGTATCTGAAATCAGTACACTGTAATAAATTTAGTCTATATGACACAAGAGCATTATTTATCAGCCAGGAAGGAAGAGTAAATTAGCTGAATTACAAGATATAAAGTCTCCCCTATTTCTCAGCTACCTTAACAATTTCCTATATTGATTTAACTGATTTTACCAGACAACACTTTTTGCTAGATCTTTGAAGAGTTACTTAAAACAGAAAACTTCATTAGAACAATAGGTGTCCTTAATGTCATCAAGTAAGTAACCTAAAAATGCCAGACCAAAGCTATGACTTCCAGGAGAACCAAAAGATATGACCCTAAAGCCTTCCCGCACGTGATAAAAAATATTTAACAGCCTGATAATGGTGCGGTAAGGTAAAGTAATGACATACATTAAATATGCGTTATGGCAAAATTAAGTTAGGTCAGACCAAAGAAAGCTGAGGAATTCCAACAAAACCTAGTAAAACTAAATAATTAACCCGTGCTACCTACTGCATTGAATGTTAGCCAGAATCATAGTGCAACTGGAAAAAAACTGCGGAGTGAAACAGTTGACAAATGACCAACACTAACATTATACAAGTGTGTAGGATTTATTTTAAACTAGGTTTAAACTGCTCCTGTGTACTGAATGCCAATTAACAGCTGGGACACATTTTCCAGTTCCAAAATAATTTCCATTTCCATAATCCAAAAGGCATTTAGTTAATGCTCGCATAGACTTTTTTATTATATCAACTAAAGCACAGAAAGTGGGGACATCCGGGAGATTTCCTTCAAAGGTACACTCCTGTGAGGCACTAACACTAAGGTAGATCCATCCATTAAAATGCAACAGTAGCCAACTACATACACTGGGTGTAAAACAAATATTCTCCCACATTAAATGTTTTATCTAAATGCTCACACCCTAAAAAACAGTATATTACAGAGACCTGAGTAAATGAACCCAAACATACAGTAATATTAAACATATAGTAATGACACAAATGGAAAAAAGTTAGTCTAAATTAAGACACGATAAAACTGTAAGGCAAGCTATTACAGCACCATCGCAGAAATCCACATTAGAAGATTATTGCTGCTTATGAGAATTTGAAAAGAACAAGGGCAGAAATCAGCTGGAGAAGCTCTAGGGTGAAACTGAAGAGGCACTCCAAAGAGACTATATACAGCACATTCATGGTGTTTAGTTTTAAAATGGAAAAGCAGAGGTAGAGTGATTTTTTAAGATGAGAGACCATGAAGCTTACTTATGATACAAGAGAAAAATGTCAGACACAAGTGAGAGGTTAATAAGAAAAACAAAAGAAAGTACTGAATGGATGTAAGCAACATCAGACAACGCGCAAGCAAGAGTCACTAGTATAAGCTAAAAGAGAAGACATGCTTTCCTCAACTTTATGGTACTATATGATTGCAAATACCACGGTTGCTTTGAAACCATGTAAAATGGGTAATTTAGCAATATACCTTCTCCAAAATAACAGAAGAGAACATAAAAGAAAAGGACATTTCAGTCTTTTTGATTAGTGTTGTTACTGTAAAAATTCAAACTGATGAGTCTGCCTACTTCAATGAATGCAGTATTTCCTGTTTCCTAACTAATTCCCCACCCCACCCCCCACTAACGTAGCCTTCCAGCATTCATCCATCTAATCAGTTTTGTGCAACTCCTTGTGTTGATACGGCTATCTAATGGTGGGGTTTGTGGATTGCTTTTTTGAATATATAAAAATTTTGACACATTTCTTTCAGAAAGACTGTGTTTATCAGCAACACCTTCTCCGTGAAATGCTACCAAACTCTATTTAGATTTCTTCTCTCTATATAGTGTACTGTCAGAGAACGTTCAGCAAGCTTGTGAAGAACACCAGGCCTAGTTAATGCACAAAAATGTTATTAATTCATACTGCAAACAGTATCATTTAAAATCCTCCACTGTGGGACCAATATGATTATACACAAAATTCAGATATATTTAAATCTTATAATTCTAACTCAGATCAAAATTGGCATTACTCAAAAAAACATTTAAGAATAAGTAAGCTTAATCTTCAGATTTTTCGTCCTTTCTTGATGTACAACTCCTATTGCACTGTCTCACCAGTTTACAAAATTTCTTTCATCTACAGGTCTCATATTGTAAAAAAATACACTATCATTGCCAGAAACATTAAGACAATGGTTTGCAAACGTTAGTGACAGATTTAGAAATATAGATTTTTTACTTTTTTTTTTTTCCCCAAATATTTAAGCATTATGCAGATATCAATCTAGAGCATTACACACAGGAACTATAGCACACTAAGAACATCAGTACAGGGTTTTTCAAGCATGAAAATCATCACCTGTGAGTGCAGAGTTTAGCATCACCCTGAGAGAACCAAAGTCTACCCAGGATTTCTTCAGCTTTAACCTATGGGCACATCTGATGGCAAAATCTACTTGCTATCATGTGACCAACTGTACTGGTGTTTGGTATACAAGAAATAGACTAACCTAATTAACACACTTCCCAACAATAGAAAACAGTATCAAAGCTTGAACTAAAGTGCGCGGTGATCTTTATTAAAGACCTGAACTTCTCGCAGCTTTCACAGACGAAGTGGACTACAAAGATGATGATTCACTTATCACTGATGTGGACTTCAGCATATTTGACTGGACAGTTAGTTTCTCTCAGCTCTTACCATATGTGAAAGAACTTTAGTTTTTCATTCCAATTTTAGGGGGAACCTGCATTGTTACTACCATTTACACATCTATATGGTTTTAGTTTTTATTTTGTGAATTTAATGCTGCTTACATAAAAATAAACACATTTATGTGATTTTTAACTGTACTTAAAAGGTTGGTGCAGTTGCAAAAAAGATTGGAAGTGGTAAAATTCAACCTTAGGATGGCAAAGCCAGTAACTTGACATTCTGATTACAATTTCTCAGGCTTGAAGGAAAGCAAACTATCTCCACACACTGGCACCATGAGAAGGACTAGCAAAGGCAACTGCAGGCACAAAATTAACCGCAACATCTGAAAATATATCTGATGCTATCCTATTTTTATCTACTTTCTGGTGCACTTGATGCAGACTTCTGCAATGCCTCATAATTGAAAATTCTTACTGTGTTTTCTAATTATGCCAAAAATCTAACTATTGAGCAATGCTTTTCTTCATCACAGACATGTACTGTACCACTATCTACAGTATTTCCCATTTATTGTTCCAGGAGCCGCATTCCAGGACACTAATTACAAATTCCTAGTTAATGACAAATAACGGTATTTCCACTTCACTAAAAGGGCCTTCCACTAAGAGATTTTTAATCAGTATGATTAACAAGGAACCTAAAGGCCACATCGGATCAAGGGAAAGTACTACATTATAAAAACAAAGGCTCTAAATTGTAAATTTCAGAAAACTGTGATAAGCTGGCTAAGGAGTTCAGAATCTCTTCTTGTCTTATTATCCCTAGTATTGATTGAAGTCTCTCCACCTTGAAATTGTTGGTGAGGGCAAATCTATTGAGTCTCATTAAATCCAGCACAGGAATGAAGTCCCCGGAGCATTTGGGACCACTAAAACAGATGCTATACATTTTAGAAAAATATTCCCTATCCTTGAGAATGAGAACTACAGCTGCAGTATGAAATAGATATCAATTTGTTTCCATAAATGCTCTAACGTAAAGGAGTTATTGTAGAACACAGCACCCTTAAAATTTGTACTTAAAGAAAAAAAAAAGGTAGCAGTATGACAAGTCAATGCAACTTGATAAAACAGATTACAGATCTTCACACATGTATGCTGCCCACTACAGCTAGACTTGGAAGAGAATTTGTGGTCCTCAATGGATTTACACATAATCCTGTGCAAGTTCATGACCTTGATCTGGTTTATCAGAAATGGTTTTTCTTTTATTCAGTCTATTGTTTCGTACTACACATTAACACCAGCACAAAGTGTGGTTCTTCCTAAATGGTAGACTGTTAAGATGAACTTGGAACATGTGAGCCAACCACATTGCCTGAGCTATAGCATATACTGCCTATCTGACCACTAACGGAGAGGTCATTGATCTTGCTGTAAGGGACAATATATCATAGGAGGTACACACTGATAGGCTCAATGCCATTCGCAGCAGTAGGAAAATATTCCTTTGTGAATATATCTATGGAATAGCTGACACATCCTTATCTAGCTATTGCAGCCCGCATATTATTAATGCATGGAAAACAAACACAACACACATTTGTCTGCAATAGTTTGCCTTTCTCATTCAATGAAAAAATAGGCATTTGTATTATTTTTATAGATGCTGAGTTTTCCAAAGGCCTGCTGTGACTTCAGTAGGACTGTGTACCTTGTGATTTGAAAAATGCATGTTACTTCGAAGCAATTACAGTTGGGTATTTTATACAGTTGTTCTAATCAGAAGTATAGAACAGGATTGTCATGATAAAGGAACTCCTTTTCGCCTCCAAAGTTCTCTCAACTCAATTTGCCACAAACATGATTAGATCTATTCTACTCTGACTTAGGGAACATAACTTTTTTTTTTTACTTTTTTTTTTTTTAATATATACTTTTTTTTAAAACATATTTTTATGAAAAAAAAACAAAAAGAACATTTTTTCCAGGTGCATTAAATATTTTGATATTTTACAAAAAGACAGCTTATCATTTCCACAATAGTATTTTGTCAGAATATTTGAGTTAGCTTTTGCTGGTTTAAGAGGCAAACCTCACTCCATGTTGGAAAAATATTGAATTCAACACCTCTAAACCAGCAAATTTTAGGGTCATCTGTGAGCTGAAGTTTGGCAGCTACCAAACAAAAAGAGCTAATCTTCAAAACCACACTATTGTTGTTCTTGCTGTATGATCAGCTAAGCAGAAGTCTTAAGTCCGGCTAAGGCAGACTAAGAACTGTGAACCAGCTTTCTGCAACAATCCTGAATTTTGAGCCAAGCCCAGTTTAGAAGCAGCTTGACCCTATAAGCTATATAAGTAGACCCATCAATTTTCCATAATACATAAGTAACTTATAACAGCAAAATTACTTTTCATAGGACAGGTTAAACTCTTTCCGAAACTTAAGTAATACCAGCAAAATCACTATTATGCAAGGTAAACTGACCTTTATAAAGAGTTTTGTCATGCTTTAAAACAGCCTCATGAAAACCCAGTTTTATTTTCTTTCATATGTTGTATAACTAGTCTGCAAGAATATTGTCTTATAAACACTGATGAAGAGAGTTCATATTATCTTCACTTGTGCCAATTTTTTTTTTTTTTAGTGACTCAAAGGATCCATTTAACACCTATAAAACCATTGACTGGAGAATGAAACATGAAAGAAATACCACCTCCTGATACCTACATTCTAGGTTGTTTGGTTTTTTTTTTAAATTCTGTAATTTACTTTGTCTTGCCCCAGATAGGTAGAACTCCCCCTGCCTTGTACATGTTCTGAACAACTTTGATGGAAGTCTACGTGTAGCTTTGCTGGGCTACTACTGTAGTGAATAAAAGACTTAATGTCTATTGTCACTGCAATCAATGATAAACTTGTGCAGAGTTAAGTACACAAGAACGTGCTGGGCACTATGTGTTATAAAATGTTAACCAAACACATCTTTAGAAACCCAGTACTGATTCTGGTTTGACTTAGGCCCAGCTTCACAGTTTTATCACAAACTGCATACTCTAAGTAAGATGATAAAGGGAAACACCTAGTTTTTGAAAAAGCACTGACAGTACACCATTTGAGAAAACAGTTCCAAGATTGGTACAAGGTATGTGAAAGTTGTCTATACAACTTCTTCCTTGTCTTCTTCCTTCTCAATGTTTCTAAAAAGGAAGGAAACATATCTTCTGTATTTCTTACAGACTGTAAATACATCCATATAATTTGTTACACTCAAAAGGAGAAGTTCTGAGTAGTGCACATGACAGCTCTTCAGGGTTAGCATTTTTCCTGGCATTCATCAAAAATACAATTCTGTTCTGTAAATGTAAAAATTAGTTAAAAGTTTTTGAATTAGTTATCCATTTTAAAAGCTACTAACGGCAACAATTTTTCCAATAGAGCAGGTTTTTGCATCTTAAACCAGTAAATTTGTTTCAGAGTCATATAAATACATTATTTACAAGTGAAAGGAATTTCTTTTCCTAAATTATCAAAAACAAACAGGAGAATTTAGTAATTGAAACCTCTAGGAGAAGAAGAAAAAGAAAAACATAGATAACAAAAAAATACATAAAGGAATTTATATGCTTGGCAATTCACTCCTATTTTTCTTCAGGTGCAACTAAATCTTAATTTTTAAGGCTCATCAATTCAATGTAAGCAAGGGGCTTATTTTGGTAACAATAAAGATCCAAAGATCTAAAGGATGCAACACTACACAGTGCTTTGATTACTCTGTCCATTGGTATTGTACAGATGGATATTAAAATGAACCCTGTGATCATAAAGCAGAACGACATACTTTTTGATATGATGTTGCTTCAGCTGTGTGAGCATCTTCTTGGTCTTTCAGTACTTTTTGTGTATCAGTATTGAGAGCCTGAAGCTGCTTTATCAGCTCAGCCTGCTGTGCTGTATGTTTAATGTTTTGTCTGTAAAGATTCTGCATCTCCTGTAACTCCTTCCTGTGCAAAACAAGCAATAAAGAGAAATTAAGAAAAAGAACAACAATGACCTCCATTAAACAATCGTGTTCAAATAATTTTATTGTAGATAATGAGCTTCCTATTTTCATTTATTTTTCTGTCAATTGCCTTATAAACACCAGAAGTTACGTATAAAATGTTTATCACATACTTTTGTGAAATATCTACAAAACAGTTAAGTTTCAAAAAGGAATGCCTTTCAATTTCCCTCTAATGCTCTAACTGCTCTAAAATAAATGGATTTTCACTACTGCACCAACACTTTCTAATCAATATTCAGTTAACTCTTTAGCAGTAAGTGTCAAAACGTAAAATACTTAAAACGCATGGACTGTAAAATAACTTTAATCTTTTTTTTTTTAACTAGAACCACCAGAAAAAAGATACAAGTTTTTCTTAACTTGCAAAGTATGTGTAATGCAAATCTCTTCTCTGAAGTGCATCTACTCCCTAGACACACAAAGTATGTCTCCTGATAAATTACTTTTTGTCTGCAGGTACAGCATACTGCAACAACCATAAGCAAAGTAAGTAAACTTCAGTGTGTATTATATAACAATAAAAGCTCTATAACCACAATAATAGGAAACATATTTTAACATAACCATAGGATAGATCTAGTATAATCAGTCTGCTTGAGAATTTTACTGTACTGCTGATAGATCTTATAAATTAAGGCAGAAACAAAGAATCAGTAACTCTTATTATAAACAATGATTAAAAACTTGGAATATTTTCTGTAACACATGTTAATAGTTCAGATGACTCCATTAATCCCTTTTTTAATATTTTCTACTTAATTCCCTGTTTAATTCGCAAGCACATTTCACACTAGTATTACATACAGATACTGAAATATAACTTCATCACTCCAACTAATTTTCTTCCTTACTTCCTCAAAGAATTTTCTTGGTAACCTCCAACACATATGTGACTTCTCTGTGCCTAGAATTATCATTAACAAGAGTTATCATTACATTTTTATGATACTGGTGGAGATGTCCAGTCAAAGATTACCATACAAAGGTAAGCAGCAATACCAACTTTGTTGTGTCTTCCTGAGAAATCGCAGAATGACAAAGAAAGCATTTTAAGGGAACTTACCAAAAAACATTTCTTAAGACCTGTGCCACAACTTAATATGCAGATTATTCACTACCAGTTCAACATCTGAATAATTACATAAAAATTGAAATTACATATGCCACAATAGCACAGTCAGACAAAAATGTTGTTAAAAAAGCACTGTTTAAAAAAGCCTGTTCACAGGCCAATATGTGAGAACACTTAAGGACATGCTTACTTAACAGTATTTAAGTCCTACGGTTCTCAGTGAGGTGTAAAGTAGCTCCTCAAAATTAATAATGGTAGAGGTACATTAAGGACTCTTTATGTAACAAAACCAAAGTACACCTGCGGTATGTACTTCATATGTACTAACTTAATTCTCCTCACAAGCACAGCAGCAGAAATAAGGACACAGTGATATATTAGCACTTTCCGACACCCTGTACAACAGGCTTCCAAACAAGCACTTGTTTAATTTCCCTGACTCTGAGTATATACTAGAAAATGACACATCTTGGCACTGCAGTTACAACATAGACTGTATTAATTTTGCACAGGTTCTCCAATCAGATCTTCATTTTGTTGTGAAAGGGAAAAACATGGGATAACGTTGAATCCTCAAATACTGTTGGATATGTTGGTAGTATCTGTTGCCAAGACCACTCTGCTCTATTGCTGCTCTTAAATTTGTATGCAAACATCAATTCAGTTATCTGTGTCTGTCACCTGAGAATGCACAGTATTGTATGTTCTCTAATGGTCTGCCCACAAAGTGTATTAAGGTCAATGGGAATCTTTTTTGTTGACTTTATCAGGCTTTGAGTCATACCCTAAAGGGGAGGGAATGGAGGGGGGGGCGGGGAAGCTGAACCTTGCAGCCACCCAAGAATTGCAACACAGTCAGAACATGTTAACTTGTGTGCTAATGTTAAATTCAAGGACTTTTAAATGTAAGGAAACTCACAGTTCCATTACGCCACATTTTAAAAATCGAACTTTATTTCTTCATGCACATATCCTAACTTGCTTTATTTTTATTTCTTGAGTAAAAAGTTATACAAGCCAAAATAGTTGCAATCTGAAAAATTCTTGAGTCACAGAAATACACAACCACTGTATTTAACTTGCAGTTGTGTGTTACAGCTGCTTTTATCCTCATTAGTGAATGAAGTACTATTTTCACATTGTAAATCCACAAGGGGAACCTTCTTTTATTTCATTTTTATACAGGAAGGAGGAGATGATGCCAAATCTTACCAGGAGTTATTCAGCACCAGTGGTGCAATACAAATAAATTCACAGAATGAAGCACCTTTGATAACAGAAAGGCCAACTTGGTGAGGGGAGCTGTAAACTAGGAATGGCAGGCAACAGAGATGTTGACCAAGCAACAACTGAGGGAACTGTGGCCTGGGCTGGCAAGCAAAGGGCACAGGTTGGTGTGGACAGGAAAGACCTTGTGATGAACAATACAAGGCTCAGGGAGGACCACCTCAAGCGTATGCACATAAATAAGGGAGTGCTAACAGGACATCTGTACGGTAGAGGTTCTTAAGAGTCTTCCTGGGAAATAAGCACAGCTGGGTGCCCATCTGAAGTTGCTGTTCAAATGCACGCAGCACGTCCCCATTGAGGATGACAGGAGGAATTACAGATCTGTCTGCAGTTGCAGGGCTCATTGGGTTCAAGGAGACAAGGTGGGATAACTCACATGACTGCAGTGCTGCCATGCATGGATACAGGCTCTTTAGGAAGGACAGGCTGGGATGGCAAGAAGTTGCCCTTTAAGTGAAAGAGTATCATAGAATCATAGAATAGTTTGGGTTGGAAGGAACCTGTAAAGGTCATCTAATCCAACCCCCCTGCCGTGGGCAGGGACATCTTCAACTAGATCAGGTTGCTCAGAGCCCCGTCCAGCCTGACCTTGAATGTTTCCAGGGATGGGGCATCCACCACCTCTCTGGGCAACCTGTGCCAGTGCTTCACCACCCTCACAGTAAAGAATTTCTTCCTTATATCTAGTCTAAATCTTGCCCCCTTTAGTTTAAAGCCATTCCCCCTTGTCCTGTCGCAACAGGCCCTGCTAAAAAGTTTGCCGCCATCTTTTTTATAAGCCCCCTTTAAGTACTGATAGGCTGCAAGAAGGTCTCCCTGAAGCCTTCTCTTCTCTAGGCTGAACAATCCCAACTCGCTCAGCCTTTCTTCATAGGATAAGTGTTCCATCCCCCTGATCATCTTCGTGGCCCTCTTCTGGACCTGCTCCAACAGGTCCGTGTCTTTCTTATGCTGAGGGCTCGAGAGCTGGACACAGTACTCCAGGAGGGGTCTCACCAGAGCAGAGTAGAAGGGCAGAATCCCATCCCTCGACCCGCTGGCCACGCTTCTTTGGATGCAGCCCAGGATACTGTTGGCCTTCTGGGCTGCGAGCACATATTGCCGGCTCATGTCCAGCTTTTCATTCACCAGTACCCCCAAGTCCTTCTCCACAGGGCTGCTCTCAATCCCTTCATCCCCCAGCCTGTACTGATACCGGGGGTTGCCCCAACCCAGGTGCAGGACCCTGCACTTGGCCTTGTTAAACCTCATGAGGTTCACACGGGCCCACTTCTTGAGCTTGTCCAGGTCCCTCTGGATGGCATCCCATCCCTCTGGTGTGTCGACCACACCACTCAGCTTGGTGTCATCTGCAAACTTGCTGAGGGTGCACTCGATCCCACTGTCTATGTCACTGATGAAGATATTAAACAGTACCGGTCCCAATACGGACCCCTGCGGGACACCATTCGTCACCAAATGTGTAATGTGTAGTGTAAATGGATGGAGCTCTGCCTTGGGATGGTCAAGGAGCCATCTGAGAGCATATCAGTCAGGTGTGGGTAGACCAGCGCAGATGATATGGTGGCTGTCTGCTGATCCTTTCTTATCAGGAAGAAGAATGAAGTCCTCTTCAGAAAACTGGAAGAAGATTCATGTTCACAGGCCCTTGTCTTCATGGGGGACTTTAATCACTCCAGTATATGCTGGAGGGACAACACAGTAGGGCACAAGCGATCCAGGAGTGCTTTGAAGATAATTTCTTGCCATAGGCAAGCAACAGGATGATGAGGGGAGACACATTGCCGGACTTCATACTTACAAACAAGGAAGAACTGGTCAGGGATGTAAAGGTCAGGGGCAGCTTTGCCTGCAGCAACCTTCAGATGATGGGAGTTGAGGATCCTGAGGGGAGGGAGAAAGGCAAAAAGCAGGATCACAACCCTGGATTTCAGGAGAGAAGACTTGGGCATTTTCAGGGACCTACTTGGAAGAATCCAGTATAATATCAGCCTGGAGAGAAGAAGAGTCCATGAGAGCTGGTTGATTTTCAAGGATCACCTCCTCCAAGATCAACCGAATGAGCAATAAGTCAAGCAAAAGTAGCAGAAAGCTTGCATGGATGAACAAGGACCTCCTCTGAGTAAACTCAATGTAAAAGGAAGGATACAAGATATAGAAGCAGGGACAAGAGACCAGGAGAAATTTAGAGACCTTGTCTAAGCATGCAGGGATAGGGTTAGGAAAGCCAAAATCTTTGTGGAGTTGAATACAGTGAGGGACTTGAAGGGCAACAAGAGGCTTCTGTAAATACATCAGCAGCAAAATGAAGACAAGGGATAAAGAGGGCTCACTACTGAAAACAGCAGGGACTCTGGTAGCAAAGGACATAAAAATGGCCAAAGCACTCAATGCTTTCTTCAGCTCTGTCTTTAAAGCTAACGCTTGCCTCCAGCAATACCAGGTCCCTGTGACTCAGTTTCAGTGGAGGAGGATCAGATCAGGGAACATTTAAACAAACTGGACATACATATGTCCATGGGACTTGATATGATGCACCTATGAGTGCTGAGAGAGGCTCAATAATCTTTGAAAGG